GTGCCATTTGGTCAAAAAGTGAAAAAAATTAAAAATCACGCCCCGAGGGTTAGTTCACGCTTATTATGACTCGCGGGGGCGTCCGTAACTCAGATCCATTCACCTTTCCCTGGAATTTTCATTATTGCGTGAATGGTGAATTTTTTTTCACTTCCATTTTGCGCTAATAAATTTCTTCTTCTTCAATCGTCATTTGTCGTCGGACAAGCGCCATAATTATATGTGATTTTCTGGTATATTGGTGAATTCTCTTAGTGCAGGATAATTGCGGACATGCAATAATTTGTGTTATCACTGTTTGAGGGATTATTTCCTTGTTAGAGTGTATGGTAAGTGATAGTGTATATTTGCGGGGATTCACCACACAGAAATAGAAAAAAAAAACACCACAAATATCCATTCCGTATATATTTTAAGAAATTACGTTTTGCCTTTGACAAAATTCTTTTACATAAACTTTGAATTACTTCAGAAGTATTTTAATGAAATTAAAGACGTGGCTATCAGATTTCAAAAACGACCTCAAATTGAAAATTGAATTGTTCTAAAGTGGATGGAAAATTTAAAACAACTGCAAACAGCGGCAATATATTCCTTTTATAACATGAGAATTTGTCATCACGTAGCAAGAAGGAATCTTATTATTTAGTCATATCGTTAAATAAATTCGTTGAACCCCCGTAATATCAAATTGATTGTTCCGTCGTACGGGAGAACCTTTTCTCTGAAATTTCTGTTTGATTACCCACCTTAATAGCTGAGAGGCCTTCAAACGACTAATTTCAATGTATATGAAAAAGTAATTAGCATAATGCTGATCATTAAAATGCCCCCCAGAAGATGGTTGAACAGTGACGAGTGTTTGACGTGATTGTGGTAACAAATACCAAGTCGATAGTTCATCGGTGTTGAATAGATCATAAGCAGGACGTAGGAGTGAATTATTTCATACGAGTTTTCAACACGACTACGCCAACTTGTGTTAAGCAACTACTTCAGTTAAATCGTGCTATTTCACAAGTACTCTGCAACATGGTAAAATGATTATTAACGTAATTCGATATTCTCGATAGAAAATTAATTATAATTATGCTCTAACATTGTGAGTGAGAGAACAATTTCAATGGATTTTTTTGTTGAATAATTGAATTGCATGTGAAAGAATTTTTATGATTTTTTTTTTTCACAAAAACAATCATAATATAACTTCAGTAAATTTGGAGTAAAATTCGTCGCGGTATTACTGAATAAACAGCACATCGAACATGATGAAGAAATATGAAAATTTTCAATTGAAATTAATGGTAAAAATTTGGAAAAATAACAAACAGTCAGTATTATGTCAATTAAACTTAGTTTTTAATAATTTCGCATTGATATTTGCATATTTGCTAAAAAAAACCAAGGCGATGATGACAGAAACAGGGAGAGTACGTCATTAACTGGGACATTGGGTACATTGAGTACAGTGGTCATGGATGTATTACGCATACATAAACGCTTGAGTCAAGCAACTTCAGATCAGTCGGCAAAGCGCAGGCACACCAAGTGGTGTACCATAAAAAAAATTGGTCTACACGTCCTTGGTCGTTGATCCATTTGATTTGTCTCTGATGATTGGATAACATTGGTGTGATTAATTCCCAATAATTGTGATTCTAGCTCGTACGACAAAGTGTTAGAAAGGCCAGCTGTCGCATATTCAGTGTGACAAGAGGTGAGACCAATATTTCTTTCCTTCTTTTTTTTTTATTCAATTAGCACAATTTCCTCTTTGAGGTGGTATGATATTAAACTTTCCTTTCAATCGTAGTCGACATTCGCTCATGTCTTCTGGCCATTTTAACCTCATATCACATTATTTTCTGCTGCATTTTTCACATAACCAATAATATTTACTTCAGCTATAGCATTTCTACTCTCTAACATCAATATCAGTATCTGGATTCAATGTCAAATGTGGTTAGATCAAAAATTGTGGCATAATTATCCAAGCTGTTTTAAAACAAATGAGTCAAACAGACTGTTTGATAATTGATGACGATAATTATTCTCCATCAATGATATTGTAATATAATTGGATAAGATTTTTGAAAATATATAGATCGTCATCTATATTACAGTGGTATATTTTTGTAATGAGTCTTTCAGCTATTTTCAATAATAACAAATGAGTGTTGATGGCGCCATTGTTATTTCAATTGTCAATCAAAAAATGATGAATTGGATTTTCTCAGGAAAACTGTTAGAAATGCCGTGTCCATTCTTGACTCGCCTCTCGGCAAATTATGTCCGCAACTATGGAGCATCTCTCCTAATGAATTACCGTCAGCACTGTCCAGTGATGTCACGAGCATCCGGCAGCCTATCTGAGACAGCTGAACCTATCACTCAAACCGCAGCTCCAGCCACAGTCCCAGTTAAACAATGCCCCTTTCTCTCAAAGGAAAAGGATGCAATAAAGGAAGCGAGTTTAGCAATTGAAGAAGACGTTATTACCCTGTGTGCTCATCCAAAACAAGCGGTCTTCCCCTATGAGGAATTCTTCAGTGAGCAAATAAAGAAAAAGAAAGCAGATCATTCCTATCGCGTCTTCAAGAAGGTCAATCGTTTGGCCCATCAATTTCCATCAGCTATGGAGTATTCCTGCGGAGAAAAACCAATAACTGTTTGGTGTTCTAATGATTATTTAGGTATGTCACGTCATCCAGCGGTGACCACCGCTGCCCACGAGGCGCTTGACAAATTTGGAGCGGGTGCTGGTGGTACACGAAACATCTCTGGCAATTCAATGGGTCATGAGATGCTGGAGAAACGTTTAGCTGCATTACATCAGAAGGAAGCAGGCCTTGTATTCACTTCCTGCTTTGTTGCTAACGATTCCACATTGTTTACCCTTGCTAAGAGATTACCTGGATGTCATATATTCTCAGACGCTGGTAATCATGCATCCATGATCCAGGGGATACGCAACAGTCGAGTTGCCAAACATATATTTCGCCACAACGACGCGAGACATCTTGAGGAATTGTTGGCGAGCGTTGATCGTTCATTGCCGAAAATAGTTGCATTTGAAACAGTACATTCTATGAATGGTAGTATTTGCCCATTGGAAGAGATGTGTGACATAGCGCGAAAATATGGGGCACTCACTTTTGTTGATGAGGTTCATGCTGTTGGGCTTTATGGATACTCTGGCGCTGGAATTGGAGAACGAGATTGGGTACTAGATAAGATGGACATGGTATCTGGTACTCTTGGCAAAGCCTTCGGCAATGTCGGGGGGTATATTGTTGGATCGAAACAATTGATTGATGTTGTCAGGAGTTATGCCGCTGGATTTATTTTCACAACATCCTTGCCGCCGGCAACCCTCTATGGTGCACTCACAGCTGTGGAGATTCTGGCCTCTGACGAGGGCCGTCAGCTTAGGGCTAAACACCAGGAAAATGTTGATTATATGAAATCTATACTCACTGCCGCTAGTCTTCCACTTGAACATTCCCCGTCGCATATTATTCCTATTAAGGTAGTTATATCTTTCATTAATTGTTTGCAGGGCACTCAGGGAGAGTGAGAAATTAGTTTCATTAAATTAATGCAGTTGCTACCCTAATGTCACATCAATCATTTGATTAAGCCTGCAGCAATAACGACTTTTTTTTTGTCTAAATTGTCGCTTTCATTGTTTACAGATTGGTGATCCACTTTTATGTACCCAAATAGCAGATGCTTTGATACGTGACAAAGGGCATTACGTCCAAGCAATTAATTATCCAACAGTGCCTAAAGGCGACGAGAAATTGCGTTTAGCACCAACACCACATCATACACCAGACATGATGAATAAATTCGTCCAAGACACCTTGGACGTTTTTGACGATCTCAATATACCAAAAATCAAACCGGACGATATACCACAAGCCATACTCGTTCATTAACTTCAAATCAAATAGTATAAACGATTAAATGAAATTCCGTTTAATGTACAGACAGATCTCTATCCTCTATTGAAAGAAAAAATACTTGTTGGGAATCGTTATTGTATGCTGAGTGAGAGCATTATACTTTTGAAAAGTATGAAAAATATAATTGCTGTATGTGCAAAAAAAAAAATCTGAAAAATAAAATGGAATTATACATGGCTGTAAGTGCTGTAAGTTCTCTTTAGTAAAGTACGAACTCGATAGTTTCATGTCGGAGAGCATGTGAAAAGTGTGATGGGCAGTGAGCCGAGGGATCTCATAAAACATTGGCAAATGCACTTGAAAACGGGAATTTCACGAACATTCCGGCCCACTGATCTCTATATAACTGGATAGACTATCCCTATGCCCCCACTACGCCGACACTGCGGCAGTACTGTAGGACAAGCAGAGCCTCAGAATAGTAGCTCGAGTACTACAGTGCCCTGGACTGCGCATCCGCATCACCCAACGAAGGATGATGCAGACGGTAAATGACGCTGGAAAAATGACGCCATAACGTTCACGTGACGACTCGGTAATTTTTGAAAAGTAATCGGTTGACAAAAGTATATTTTCTTCCTTGAGAAAAATGCGGTGTGTTTACTGCGGTAAAACAAACAAGACGCATGAGATGATATTTTTTCATCGGTGAGTAGATAATAGTAGTTCCCCGATAACGAATATAAAAAAATTCCAAGAATATTCATTTCCTTTTAGCTTTTCCTATGCAGATCCCATACCAAGAAATACATTAATAGTATTTTTCACGCCTAGGACGGAAACCCCAGCGGCATCGTAGTACTGCACCCCAGAAGAGGGAGGGCGTCACACGCAATGGGGGTGTCTACCCATCAGCCGACTCGGTAACTCCCTCAGTAGCAGTCCCGCTGTCAGAGGGACCAGTCAACGTGGTGAAAAAGGGTGAAATTTTAAAATTTTATGGAGTCACTTAAATTTTTTGACACACCCCCATTGCGTGTGGCGCCTTCCCTCTCTTGGGGTACAGCACTACGATACCGTTGGGGTCACTCGAACCCCCAGAACTGAGCCTCTACTTTACTCAATACTCTTTGGCTAGTACATTGGACGCCAATACATGTGAATAGCTTGCATTTGCTGGTGGTTGCCTGTGTTGTGCTTGTTCTCATTCGTGCAGTCTTATCTGTGGTCTGTATTCTCTGATGACCAACTTGAACCAACCAAAAAGCATATTAACACGTAATCTAATTTCACGTTTCCAAATTTTATAAGGACCTTCAGTAAAGTATTAGCAAAAATTAATGGTCTTTACTACATTTATATCCCCTGTATTACAAATATAACCTTAAAGTAGAGAATCGTTGTGCTGAAGGGGTTATGAAAAGAGGAAAAGAAAAATATGTGAGGGTAGTTAATTTTCAGGAAAAAACAGTCAACTAATGGGCCTGAGCTCCATAGTACGTAACATTCTCCTTGGAATCCCAATTGGAGTAACATTCGTCAACACTGTGGGATATGTCGCACGAGTGGAGGGAATATCGATGCAGCCAGCACTGAATCCAAATGCTAAAGAGTATGACTATGTCTTTTTGAATTGCTGGACTGTGCACAATTACAATATCAATTACGGTGAGATAATTTCATTCAAATCTCCGAAAAATCCAGAGCAGAAATTGATAAAGAGAGTCATTGGATTAGAGGGAGACGAAGTGCGAACGATTGGCTACCACACTTCAATTCTAAGGGTAAGACCAATTTCATAAAAATTTCATGTTAAATATAATGTGAATGATAGTTTTTTGTTTCAGGTGCCAGAAGGTCACTGTTGGGTCGAAGGTGATAATACAAATCACTCAGTAGATTCTAACACATTTGGTCCACTATCTCTTGGTCTGGTTATAGCCAAAGCAACCCACGTTGTCTGGCCACCCAGTCGATGGCAGCATCTCAATTCACTGATTCCTAAACATAGAAGCCCTTTAAGAGTATCCAAGCAATCACAGCCTGCATAAATTCCATTTTAAAATGAGAGCAGTGAATTTTGTCGACAGGCTGCAGTGGGATATTGCTGGTAATGTTTTCAGACATGGACTTGCCATTGGTGATGTTGATAACGATGGGGACAACGAATTAGTCGTTGGCACATCTAAAGGAGATTTATTAATATTCAAGGGCTCAGACATTTGGCATAAAACAACTGGACTCGGACTGATAACTTGTCTTGCCATAGGGGATATATTCAATTATGGGAGAAATGCTTTGGTCGTTATTTGCGGAGATGGATGGGTGCACATTTTTTACAGTCCACGCTCAGTCAACCCTAACACTGGATTTTCTACGGTGGTCAATAAAGAATGCCTAGACAATGCCAAGCTAGATGCTATTTTCGAGCATAATCCCGGAGAGGTGGATCAAATGTCCGGTAAAATGGAGTGTGTTCATTTACAAAGAATTCCAACAAATACAAAAATCGTGCTGTTAGCTGATATCGACCGAGATGGGGCTAATGAAATGATCATCGGGCTGACAGATCGTGTCGTCAGGTCCTATAGATGGTCAAGTAATGCTGATTTGGGAACAGGCAAGCTCATTGGACTGAATAAATGGGAATGTGCCAATCAAATTGGCACTCTTACTCTACAGCATACAAACGATCGAACCCCAACTCTTCTTGTTGCCCAGCCAGGTGGTACCTTCATGAGAATCAAATGCACTTCCGACAACTGTCGCTCACAAGAAACTTGTGTGCAAAGTGAAACAGCCGAGGGTTGCATTGATTATCAAACGCTAGGAATATCTCGTATGCGGAATTCAAATATTTCCACTGAAATAATTGGCAATCTGGCGCCCGGAAATAAGAGATACTCCTCTATAAAGATTTGTTCAAAGAAGGATATTCATGAATCAACACCACTGGAATTTTCAGGAACTGATCAAGTCGATGGAAATATTATCGGTGGTAATGCTGTTCGGGGTGAATTCCCAACAGTTCATAAGAAAACAATTTTACCCAGTTATGATGATTTTACCAACAACAGTTGTATAAATAATGAGGGTATTATTGAAATTAAGGACAATAATAATGAGGAAGAAGTTATGGAGAGCAAACCCTATGCAGTTGCTACATTAGATGGAACGATAATGTTGGTCAAGGATGAAATTATTTTATGGGCAATGCAAGTTGACCACCAAATATTTGCACTCTCCTGTCTGGACGTAACTGCTGATGGAACTGATGAAATAGTCATTTGCACTTGGGATGGGCAGACTTATATCCTTGACCAAGACAGGAACAGCGTGAGATTTCAATTCGAGGAGCCAGTCCGATCTTTCTGTACTGGCAACTACAGCTTATCTCCAGGGACATCAAGCCCTAGCCTTGTCTACATCACTTTCACGAATAAGGTGGACTAAATTTGGAAAGCCAATCCGTCAATGCTATATAAATCATTGAGTACAAAATAAATGTTAAATTGTCGAATTTTCAGATTTTTTTATACTATGACGTTTTCCTCCCAAGTCTGGTGGTCAAGAGCCTGCCATCGCTTGATGTATCGGTAAAGCAGAATGAAGAAGATAGGATACTGGATGATGTACCGCCTTTAGGACAATTGCGGGACAAGAGACAATTGCGGGAGTACCTACTATATGGAACGAATACGCTCGAATATAAATACTAAAGCTCTTTGGGTTGTATAATAGGAATTGCACATTCGAAAAATATATTAGAAATATTATAAAAATGTGAGGGGTGTATGGTTGTTATTGTCAAGTAGACAGTACTATTGTGTTCATCTCATCCGAGTGTATAAACTTGTCTGACGAAATACAATGCCATCTATTCAACATGCTTGATTCATATTTTTCTATTTGAGAAAAATTTCATCACATTTCTTGAAATATTGAATTGTATCTCGGATCAATCAAGTTCTTCTTTTTTTGGGAGAAAAAAAAAAAATAAGGGATTATAAATGGACTGGCAAAATGTGGAGTTTAAGTGAAATTCGGTGATGGTTATTAAATAAAAAAAAATTCTGGCCTGGACGTGTATAAGAAAAATAAAAGTGAATAATTGACATTTCCATCCATATTTAGAACGAAGTTTAATGAACATTTTCGAGAAAAAAAAAACAGTTAAATATATGTGAATGTTAGCCCCTCTGGTTGCTTTGCTAGCCCATGTCACACATTTTTCAACAAAAGCTACGATGTGGGATACGGCTTATTGGTGACAATGGGAGTGTGGGGGCTCCGTCACGTCTGGGGCAACATAAAAGCGTATAATGCCTCCACGCTAACGTGAAAATTATCCTGTCAAACATTCGCCCGTCGGATTAGCCTCAACGTTTCTCTCTCTGGGTATATACATACAACTCAACATGCTATACACGGACGGACAACTATGACGATGGATCTTGCAACCTTTCGCCCTTTAGAGCCTGCGGTATGCATCTATACATTAGGAGCCAGATGTTCGGTTTTCCATCAACACCCAAGTACGCGCTTAGTGTTATGTGTTGAAAAGCAAATAGTGGTGACTGGAGAGTGCTACTGCGATTAATGGGAGGTGTTGATCTGACCGTGGAAATATATCAAACATCTTCCAATAAATAGTATAGTTTTTCCGAATTGAGATGAGGTTATTGATCAAGCTTCCACTTTATCATTTTTCTTCTTTTCAGTATCAATCAATCGATGGGTGTAACTCGTCCACTCCAAGAACTTTCCTGAGAATGAAGTGATGATTGTCAATATTTGAGTTGACATGCCCTACACCATTTCAATTAGGCGAGACTTTTTTGTTCATTTTTTTTTTTCTATTAAAATTTATTGGCACCCCAATATTTAAGAGTCTGGCATCACATAACCTTGTGATTCGCCACAGTATTGTCTTTTTTCATTTACCAAAAAAGTTGTTTCTTAGCTAAAGTTGAGATTTTGAGTATTTCAAAGTTAAACTTTGAAAGGAATTGTTAAGAGATGAGAGGAGGAAACAAAATATTTTCTGCAATAATACAATGAGTCGATATTATTAACAAATAATAGGAAAATCTAATATATTTTGTTCTGGCGATGTATGGGCGCACTTCTACTTCTTCCCCTTTGCAGATAACTCAGAAATAGGTGGCTGAATGGAGTGGAAAACCTCATGAAACGAGGGAGGAGAGGACGAAGGATATAAAATGAAAAGTGTGCGTTATTGACGTCGCTTCACTTTCTTGCAGTGCCTCGCCTTGCTCCTGAGGGCTCCTCCACAAATCCACATCCCAACGGATTCGGTAGGGGAAATTCGGTGGAGTCGAATATAGCTGTCGACGTAGGCGTCGAAATAAAAAATGGAAAATAATGGGAAAAGAAAGGAAGAAAGGAGGACACTAGCGGAAGCCCCGCCCACGTCATCTGACGAGGACGCTTCCACCAATAGAATTACGGAACGGTGGCCATTTTGGTCCATAAGAGGAGGTTGCGCCCAAGATGTACCCAAGTGCCTTGAACCTCTCCCCACCCCTGGCTCGTACAACTTTGCCACCACCATTCCAACCATTTCAGCCAAATACTCATACTCACCCTCTACATTATCGAGCGGTGTGATAGAGAGGGAAAATTAAAAAAGAGCCTAGGTGAGCTGGAGAGCAGCGCCGCCTGTCAACGGCGCTACCAAGAAACAGGAGGGTAGCAGGCAGGCAGGGAGGCAGGCAGGCAGGCAGGTAGGTAGGTAGGTAGGTAGGTAGGTAGGTAGGTAGGTAGGCAGGGAGGCAGGCAAGCAAGCAGGCAGGCAGGCAGGGCAGGGCAGGGCAGGGCAGGGCAGGGCAGGGCAGGGTAGGGTAGGGTAGGGTAGGGTAGGGTAGGCTAGGGTAGGGTAGGGTAGGGTAAGGTAGGGTAGGGTAGGGTACGATACGATACGATAGGATAGAATTGGAGAAATACAAGTCGAGTGAATTCATTCGCGTCCGTAACATCATCCAGTAAAAACTTATCCGAATTTGCCGCCTCCATTTATATTCATAATATTGTGACAATACATGGGATATTTTTAGTGTGCTTTGGTTGTTTCACCGTGTGAGAAATTCCAAGAAAAGAGTGAACCCCACTCAATACTCATTATTAAGAGTTTAAGTTTGATATAGCTATCGGTGTTGGTTGAGGAGGGGACCAACGGTAGAGAGAGGGGAGAGCCACAAATGGAGAGAGAGAGGGAACAATACTGGGAAGACATCGCCAAATACTGAATATATTCTCAAGAGGATAACGGGCGCGTTGTGCTCTAATAATAAGTGAATTATTTTATTTGTCAGAAGGTGAATATTTTCCCTTTGATCCCTTTGCGTGTTTGTGAATTGGCCACTTATGATTGGGACGGTCGTGTGTGGACACTCGTGTGCTGAACTGTGAGGTATAATTTTCTCTCTCTCTCTATCTATATCTATCTATTTATCTTCACACTCATTTCGGTGGTGAAGAGCCTGGGAATAATCAGCTCTTGAGGTGTAAGGGCCCACAGACTTGAACAAACGATTCTTAATATTTGGCTAAGGTGAGTTATAATATTCATACTACTAGATTCTTAACATATCTTTCCGATATGTTGTCAATGCCGATATTAATGTTAATGCCGCAATTTTTATTTAGTAAAATGGGTGAATGGTGAATGTAAGTGTAATCAAGTTGAGGCTATATTGAATGAATTGAAGTATACACACAACAGAGTACAATGACCGAAATCGATAGTGAACGTAAATGTCAACAAATGGGCAATTGAAGAATGAGGACTTAGCTGGCTATTCTCCATTGATTTTTCGAGATAGGGTAGACCATTTTCCCTAGTGTACGTTGAATTGGAGAGATTGCATGGAAATTGATTGCCTGAAAGGTCCACTGCTCCGCATTGATTGAATAAATGTACACAATTTTTTTCAATCACATTCCAAATTCAATCCTCATGATAGTTGTGTTGTTCTTGAGAGATTGTTAAATTTCTACGGCAGAAGATCCAGTTGTTTATGGTGAAAAAAAACGTTTGCCTGAAATTCTCATAACATTTAAAAATGTTGCTCATATTATGGAAAAAAATTATCAGAAATCATCGTCTTCCTACTAATAGCTGATTTGGTTTCCATCACTTGTAATGTATTTGTATTGAGAAATGCACGAGTTGTCAGTCGATTATCTCTGATGCTTCGTCATCGTTGCTAATTGCGAAGAGACTATTCCTTCTTGTACTTATGGACAGCTTACAAATTGCGTAAATGATTTGTTGAAAGCGAAAGAGAGTGGTTTTTTTTTCTTCCTTTTTTGGTAACAAAGTAGAGTTGTCATAATATGGTAATAATTAAATCGTAGAGGAAATATCTTATCTCCATGACTCATTTGTTCTCTTATCATAATAATTATACATGAAAGCAATTTTCCAATTACTCAAAATTTCACCAGTGAATATACTAAATTAAAAGTTATTATTCTAAAATAAAGTGTGTTATATATATGGGGCATAGCGATTGAGAACTTTACAGTCACGAGATGACTCGTCCCGACGGACATTCCATGATTACTATTTATCGTAACACTACGACGAATCGGGCGTGCTCGGTTATAATACAATGATACAAAGAGGAGGAACCCAAAAAATGCCCTGCGGAGCATGAAGATGTCTGTCACACGTAAACTCGAAGAAACGCATTTTTTTTTCTTCGTATACCTGCAGATGTGAGATACCTGAAATGTGAAAAAATAATATCTGAGATTCTTTATACACCTCACTGACAAAAGAACCACTTTCTAAAATCCAATCCAAATTATTCACTCGGTAATATTTCATATTTTTTCGACTGGGTGTATCAGCAAATGATTAATTCACTCTCAATAATTCGCTCAATGTTGTCAAAGTTTCATTAATTTTTCATTAAAAATTGTTGATAATTAGCATTGTAAATTGTAATGAAATTGATGGACTTGGAGAAATAGAAAGTTGGGTTCTTTTGATCGAATCCGAAAATTATTATCGACAATATGATATTTTTTGAAAAGCGAATCAAGTTTGGAATAAATCAGAGTGGAAAAGGTGATTCCTATACGCGCCATACCAGGGCTTGTGGCATATTGGATGTTCATCTGACAAACACTCGCTGCCATAAATCTGGAGACGGGGCCGTTGTTGTATCGATGATTTACGAGTCCCAAGCCCGTCCTTAACATATAACTAATATCCTTCCCTAAAAAAATGTCTCTTAAAAGTCGAATTATAGAGGGACCAGTATTATTATTATATTATACTAGCTAGCGGGATATTCATCAACAGTACATCAACAGCGTACAAATAGCAAAGATAATAGATTGCAAGTTGATTAAATGCGAAATTAAAGCCGATAAGAATGCAATGTAAAGATATCACTTTTGTAATAATTTCTGTATTCATTAGTGAATTTAATGGACTCGTGATTGATTGAAATTAATTTTGTATATAACGATTAGTAATATTAAATGATGATTTCAAGAGTCCTACTGAAGACATGAAAATTCTCTTAATAATGTCAATTGGGAATAGAAAAATGGGAGAAGGCCCTCCTTGTGGTATTTGAAAGGCTGGGAATGAAGAAAAGAGGCGTAAGTTTTGGTTGGTAGCTTTGGCTGTGGTTATAGCTACCTAATTAGCGGTTTCATGAAAAGACCATGGGGGGCTCGAGCTTTGGAGAACTTGGAGGACACGTACCTAACCGTCGGGTAGAACACCTGGACGCACACCGCAGTGCGGCATTCTCCAAGAGGTGAAAAATTTCGGAGAATAATCTATATATAAGAATCCGACATGAATATATACACTCTACGTTGACCTTTTTTTTTCTCATCAC